TCGTTGAGTCGCCATCCCTGGAGGTATTTAAAAGACGTGTAGACGTGGCGCTTGGGGACATGGTTTAGTGGTGGACTTGGCAGTGCTAGGTTTATGGTTAGACTTGATGATCTTAAGGGTCTTTTCCAACCCAAACGATTCTATGATTCTAAGGTGAAAACTGCCAAGGTATTTAAGATGACAGGCTTTAAACAGATATTAAAAAGATGTTTTAAGTTGAAAAGTTACTTGAAAGAGGACAAGCTGCATACTTCGTCCTTTGTGTACAAGCAAATCTGCAGTCAATGCTCAGTTTAGAGTACTTATTCCCAAATTAGGCATTAGGACCCAACAGGCCTTGCCTTCTGTATTTGCTTTATTGTTGGACACTCAAAAAGGGATGAAAGGAAACTGATGGAGAAATAGTGAATGGCTGTTTGCCTTGATGGGTTGAAAACAAGGGAAGAAGTGTAAGACCTTCACTGCTTTCACCCTGAAACTATTTAGGGAGAAGGAGAAAAATAGGAAAGAGGCCTATGGAAAACAGTGCTGATTTCTGAGGAGGGGAATAACTGGATTAAGTGGGAACAGGTGACTTGTAGAGTGTGCTTAGTTTACGGTAAAACTACCCCCTTGGATTAGAGAGAAACGAGAGTAGGTGGGAACTAAATGGCTGAGTAGAGACATTCCTACTGAGTAAAGATTAGCTTATCAGTGAAAAAAAGATCCAGTGGTCAGGAAAAGATTAATGGGGTCTTTGAAACCATTAGGGATGTGTGCTTCTGAGGAGCTCGGGATAAGGCAGTGCAAGGAAAGGGGGAGCGGGAGGTGAGTAACAGAGGTGGAGGGGGGAGAGCACGCAAAGTGTCGAGGCTGCCGAGTTGTGGAGAGAGGAATTGCGGACAGTAGAGAAGTCAACAGAAGATACAACTGTAGAGCAATTAGCTCAGGAAGAGGTGACCAGTGGTTAGGTCTGAAGGGGGAGTGAAACAGGAGAGAGAAGTAGCAAATGAGTGGAAAATGCAAGAAGCAAGCAGA